TTACGCAGACCTTCATCACAGAAAATATATGTGTAAGCAACACAGTCAATTTCACTTAATATGTCATTTGTCTCCCATTAATAGAAATTATTATTACCGCTAATGGGTCATTAGGGAGACCTTCCCACACGAACGTGCACAAAAATTTTCCAACTTTACCGTCCCATAATTCAATATTCCCTAGTCTGATCTGAACGAAACTTTGTATGTTTTCATTATGGACCCTAATCTATCATCTCTCAAAATTCTGCACATAAACATAACGATTTGAATTCCCAGACTAAGGACACTGTTACTATACCTTGTGATTCGGTGCAAGCTTTCGCAATGGACTGGTTCCTTTGTGCCCTTCTTATCTATTGAGAACAGTGCATTGTTGCAAGGCGTCTCTTATGTAACTAAGGAAAAGCTTGCCCGGAATCACAAGGCATAGCAACAATGGTCTTAGTAACGAGATTTCAAGTTGTTCTGTTCAGGTGAATTTTAAGAACTCAGTGTACCAGATGTAGGTCAAAGTTAACTCGCAAAAGGCTTAGTTCCCCTCAATCCACCTTGTGACGTTGTCTCTTTGAGCGTGATTCGCTGGATCATGCTTGATCGGCGACGGTTTAGACTGGTTCTTGGACGGGTAATAAAATCTTTGCCTGTAGCAAAAGGTGAAGGAACAAAGGAGGGAGGGAGTTGAGTCTCTCCTCCCTTATCTCATACAATTCTAATTATATTGCAGGTAAGTAACCTTTACATTATTGGGGGATTATATTTCGCTAATCTCGGAGAGACTTTGAAGCACATCTGCAATCTAAGCCGACGCCAGCACTCCTTGATCGTCTTTCGTCCTGTCAGGATGTCTGTAGTAAAAGGCTGCAAATGTCTCCGATGAAGACCTATCTGCTGTCTTCAGAAGGTCACTCATGATAAGTAGCACCTGCGCGTTTTGCCGCTGTGTGCTATACAGGGGAAAAATATTCGCTTGTTGCCCAGCGCCCGAACAGAATTGGGAAAGGCTGTTGGCCTTGCAAAGATTTTAGTGACGGAAATACATCACACAGGGTCAAGCTAACGACGAGCTGAGCATTGTGGGTAAATCTCTACAAGGTGCGCGAGCTCGCTGAATACGTTACACAAGCAGCGGTTATCAAATCGGTAGTTTTTTTTTTCTTAATCACTGCTGAAAACATTCTCTCTATATTTATCTCTTTCACCCAAAATGGATCAAGATAAACAATCATTTGAAATATATCGCCAAAAGAAGAAAAATTAACACAGTGTTATTGTACCACGGCCATGTTTTTATCATATGCATGTAGCCAACACTTTGCCCGTGCCAAAGCATTGCCATTGGTGACCCCCCCCCCCAAAAAATGAATAACGCTTTGGTATTACAGGAAGTGATAACCTCGCAGTCACATGTAGAGCACAATGTAGGCAATTACAGTGCAAAACCATCTGCCCTTCCCAGGCGTCCGGGCGCTGGGCGACGAGCGGAGGGATATTAGGCCTCTTTCAGGTATGGCGGAGAAAATGGGAGGGTGCTATTTGTCTTGGGTAAAATCTTTGTGCTTACTCCAATTTACGCTCTTGAAATGGCGCCCTCTTATTGTATTCATAATGCTTTGTAAAGGCCAACGGCCGTTGTTGTTGCGGGCAGCCCGAGACCATCTAATAAATGAGCAATTTACACCAGGGCAGATGGAAAACATGCGGGGATGCGCTTGGTCGTCTGGACGCCATCCCTCACATTGTTGTGTTGCCTCGTGGATAAATGTCGATATACCTGTCAGGAAACGAACAACAGCTAGACGACCTCATTCAAACCTGCAAAGTCCCCAAGTTTCGCCTCTATAAATGGTTCGGTATTAGACAGGTACATTATCCGAGAGGGGTTAAGGAAATTCCTACTGCTGAGCATAGGGTTAGTAAATATTGGAGAGTCCGCACATCTTCCATAGTTGTGAAATGGCGACAATCGGGTCGGGGGGAGGGCTTGAAAGGTCAGCATTTCGTGTGTACGTACTTGATGGACGGCCCCTAATGATTCAAATCAGCAGGAAGTCTCTGGCGGCATACTAAGGCGTGCTATTCACGTACGGCTTAATCATGGATTTGCTATAGAGAAACCCACACCCAAGATCCAGCCGGACAGAAAGTGAAGAACATTCAAACAGGAAAGAGCCACAATTGCAATGACACTAATCATAGACCGTCCCGGAAACTTTACGCTATTAGGTCATGAATAATTTGGATGTGAGTACAGTACAACGTCATTGTACTGAACAATTGGGTTTACGGACCATACCCCTTGGCTCTCGAATTTTCCGTGCACTTTTAATTAACATTAAAAATTTGCTTTAAAATTAAAGAAAGAAATTTAGGACTGATGACAGTGACTTGAAAGTTAAGATGTCAATAATTAAACTCCGAAATTGCAATGGCCATTTTATGAGCCCAAACATGTAGCAAAACAAGCAGCCGCACGAGAGAATCTGTTTCACATGTACAAGAACACACAAGTATGTAAACATTTCATCATGGGATATAGCCTTTTTTTCTGCAAATGACACCCTCTGTTTAGGCAAATGGCGACCTCTTTTGCCAAGATTCCTCCTTTTTATGGAAATCGGAACATTTGGATTTTTAGGCCTATGAAAATGCGACGATTGGAACAGTACCAATTAAATCGGACCCGTTGGGAGGAATGCTACACCAAGCATTGTGTGAGGACCCAGCCCTGTTCATTGCAGCTGTGTCGTACTGCATCATACCTATAAACCTCTCAAAAATTAAGGAATCAGACTTTGTCTTAAGTTGAAAATTTCAGCCAGGTGTGCCACCTCACTGACTTCACTTAGGCTGAGTTCGGGCAGCTTGGTCTCTTATGTTCACGAACAGGTCGGTTTGTTGTTCGTGAGTCGGTCGCTCGTCCGTTGTTGCTGGCATGCACTTGGTGGCGAGCGACATGCAACACTGCGGCGTCCATCTACGTCATATGAGAGTTAATGTTTATAACTAGGCTGAATTCCTTCTATTTAAACAAGAACATTCATTTNCCGTGTAATGAAAAACAATTCATGTTAATTGCTAACTTTGATTGCTAATTTCAATCATCTGAGTTTGTCCCACATTCATCATTCATTAGTCTTTCGTGCTTGTGTCCGATAACCAGATGATAAATGTGTATAGTTCTGTGGATTAATTAAAACAACTTTCTTTACATTTACTCGAATTTTTAATTGAATTCCTTATCCCTTTAATGGACTCTGTATGAATAATTTTTTCCTTTGTTATGTTTAGTGTGTATGTGGTGTTATTTTTTAAGAGCACCTCTAAGGAAAACATGTTTTCTCTGATTTTATCTGATCAAATAAAGACGGAAGCATCAAAATCGCACAGAGTGCCATTTGTCTTCAGAGCTCAACTATAACAAGCTCAAAAGGGCTTTTATCTGTTCATACCAAGATGCATTCAGAGAACACGAGGGGAACCCTTGCCCTGTGTTCGTAGTGGATAAAACCCTTGTGCATGCCAAATTGTGCATGTAGCCATTCCTTGTAGCCATTTTTTGGCATGCACGTTTTTTTTTCTCAAGCGTAATAACCTTCGGTGTTTGTTAGAAAATCTTTGCAGTCACTGCAATACTCCTTTTTTGTGGAAACCAAACCTGACAATCTCGCAAAGTGCCCCAAAACTGTAGCATTTGGTAAAATTTTAACTCAATGAACAAGTAAAGCCTAAATATTCAACGCATAATTCATTTAGTTTTATCGCTAAAGGGTCCACTTTTACTTGAGTCTGAAGTCAAAAGGACACCAATATATTACGTAAATTTACGTACCTGTTTTCAAAGCAAAACTTTACCAAAAGCTTAATGAAAAAACTTGCACAATGCACGTATGTACTTATAATTTTGTCTTTTTTGTGGCTGTGTTAAGGAATGTAAATGAAACTTTATTCTGACTCTAATAATTTTGGAATGAAACTTTAAACAATAATCTCATCCCATTAACTTCTAACGCAATAAAAATTGTCATATAATTGACTATTGAACTTTTGACTAATAGCAAAGAATTAATTGAATATGTTGGAACAGTCAACTACTTCTTGCATAAATTATCGCTCGAAAGCGAACGCTCTTCACGCACATGCTCTTTGCACGCAAAAGCTGAGGACAA